CAGCTACCATGTTCTCTAGATTCACAAAGAGAGTATGGCTTAATAAGAAGTTGACGGCATACACCAAAATCCAAGTCTATAGATCCTGCGTCCTGAGCACACTCCAATACTGCAGCGAGTCCTGGACCCTTTGTGTATGGCAGGAGAGGACTTTGAACACCTTCCATATGCTTTGTCTCCGACACATTTTTGGTATCACCTGGCAGGACAAAGTTCCAAATAGAGTAGTCCTAGAATGAGCTGAAATTTTCAGCATGTATACATTATTGAAACAGCGCCGTCTACGTTGGCTTGGGCACGTCGTTAGAATGGCTGATGGTCGGATTCCAAAAGATATCCTGTATGGAGAATTAGTGCAGGGAAGCCGCCCCCGAGGGAGACCACAGCTGCGATACAAGGACATCTGCAAGTGGGATCTGAAGACCTTAGGAATGGACCTCAACAGATGGGAAACCTTGACGTCTGAGCGTTCAGCCTGGAGGCAGGCGGTGCATCATGGCCTCTCCCAATTTGAAAAGACACTTGTACAGCAGGCCGAGGCAAAGAGGCAGTCCCAAAACAAGCAAAACCAGGGAGTTGGACAGGGGACAGATTGTATTTGTCTTCAATGTGGAAGAGATTGTCACTCTCGAATTGGCCTTCTCAGCCACACAAGACACTGTTCCAAGACCTCCATACAGAGTACCATAGTGTCTAGAGACTGAAGGATGCCTACTACTTGTTGTACAGTCTCCAGTTATTCCCAAAAAGGACTGTTACTCTGTGAGTGGTTAATATCTTTCGCAATCATAACACTTCTGCCATAGAACACAGGGGCACCCCTTTCCAGCCCACAGCCTCCTGTCTAGTCATGCTACTACTATTCCAATCATTTTGAGCCTCAGTCTTGCCATATTGCAGGAAAGGAGAGAGTGAGTGAGTGGCTGAGAAGAGGGTCAGTCAGACATATACTATCATTCTGCTGAGACGGGATTTTGGTTTCTTAATTTCATTTGTCTTTCCAGCTTATGGGGCAGTAAACCCTCCTCTCAGGTAAGTCCCAGGATGTTTTCTTAAAAAGGCCTGGCTGAGCTGCCTTCATTTCAAGGGGAGTGGAGCGGGAAAAGAAACCCTTCACAAAAAATCTATCTGCATTTCAGGAGTAGTGAGCTGTGAGGAATCTGTGCAAGGTGGTTCAGACCAACCCCAAAGCTGCCCCTACTCAAATCTCTGCAGCCTCTTGGCTTGGAGCCCACGGCCCAGTGGTGAGCTTCGTGGCGCAGTGGTTAAACCGCAGTACTGCAGCCAAAACTGTGCTCACGACCTGGGGTTCAATCCCAGGTAGCCGGCTCAAGGTTGACTCAGCCGTCTATCCTTCCGAGGTCAATAAAATGAGGACCTAGTTCACTGGGGGGGGGCAATGTGTAGCCTGCATAATTAACTTGTAAATCACCCAGAGAGTGCTTGAAGTGCTATGGGCCAGTATATAAGCAGCACGCTTTGCTTTTTTTTTGCCCCTATGAAAAGACCAGCTCTCCTACCTTTAGCTTCCTGCAAGGCAACTCCAGAGGGCATTTGAGGGCAAAGGCACTTTAAGGCAAAGCATTACATTTTGAAAATTACATCCCAGAATTGAGGAAATTAAATAAATTAATTCATTGTGATTAATATTTTTGTCTATCTCACTTGTTTTAAAATCACAACTTTCATGGGAATACTGAAACAGTTAAAAACCAGCAGGAAAATATGACGTTCAAATAATATAAAGAGATAAAAATATTTTCCTCACCTTTTGGAGAGTGAAGGCAACCTGTATGGATGCTAAAAATAGAGCCATGATTCCTTTCAAGCACACTGAAGTAATTACACACACACACACACACACACACACACGCACACACACACACACACACACATACACACACACACACACACACAGAGAGAGAGAGAGAGAGAGAGAGAGAGAGAGAGAGAGAGAGAGAGAGATTCTTAATTCTTGATTGTTTTTGTTTTCCTTTTTAAAAAATAGTGTTCTGTATTTGGGTGTTAATAACTCCAGGGAAGAAATATTCCATAGCTGTTCCCCTGGAAAAAATAAATCACTTTTTTTTAAAACAATTTTTGATTTATTTATTTGTTTGGCTATGAAACAGCCCCCAGGGCACCTAGAGACAGCAACATTGCAAAGAAGCTTCCTCTGACTCTCCTCTACAACCCGTCCAAGTTTGGTGAAGATTGGTTTCCCCAAGCCAGCTGTTAAAGAGCACTTTCTTAGGATGACCCACTTTGTGGGTTTATAACTTGGATGTCTGAAACCCAATCTTCACCAACCTTGGAGGGATAGTAGAGGAGATTGAGTAGAAGCTTCCCTATGATTCTGATGTCTCTAGGTGCTTGTGAGGGCTTTCTGGGGGGGGGCTTCTTGTGAGTGTATAACAGACATCCAAAACCCAAACTTCACCAAAATTGCAGGGCTTGTAGAGGAGTGTCAGAGGAAGCTTCCCTGTGAATATTATATCTCTAGATGTTTTTTGGGGGGCTTTTATAGGATTTTAAATTTAAAAAATGACTTAACTAATCAATTTGTTGCTTCATCAGAATAAATTATAAATTTGTAATTTGTGGTTCATCAATCTTGATGAATCACAAATAAAAATGAATTACAATTTTTCTGATTCCTTTCCATCTCTAGTTTCCATTAATATCCCTCAGTCACTGTATCTTTCAGAACTATTTGTGTAGATCCATGGTAGGACTGTTGTTCTGCAGTGTGCTTTCTTCAGTAGTACAGGTGAGTTCCAGAAGATGATGCTAGAATGCTATAGATTTGACCCAGTGAGAATAGGTCTACAATATGCCCTCCTCTCTGCCATGCTGTTCAATATCTACGTAATACTGGGTGAAGTTGTTCTAGAATTCTGAGATTGTTTTATTAGTATTTTAATTACCCTCAAGTAGATGCCTTGAAGATCTCTTTTTTTTTGGCATGAAAGTGGGAATGAAATGTACATTAAGTTAATTAATTTAGTTAATTAAATTATATGTTACCTTTTCCTCTTCATTATTGATGTCAGAGCTATGTCTGCTTGCCTGAGTGGTCCAGTAATGGTTCAACAGGTGAGGGTGAATAAACTGATACAGTGGGGTCTCAACTTACGAACGGCTCGACATATGAACGTTTCGACTTACGAACCGCTCTCATAGGAATATATGGACTCGACTTTCGAACTTAGATTCGAGTTACAAACTCTTTTTTTCCCTTTTTTTAAAAGCTAAGTCATCTTAGGTTAAAAGGAAAAAAGAAAAAATATCCCCCTCTAGTGGCAGAAGGCGGAATAGCAGCTTCCTATTAGTTTCTATGGACAAAAAGAGCAGATACGGATTAAATGGTTTTCAATGCATTCCTATGGGAAATGCAGATTCGACTTAAGAACTTTTCGACCTGAGAACTGCCTTCCAATACGGATTAAGTTTGTAAGTCGAGACCCCACTGTACATACACCAGAGAAGGCTCAGGTGCTGTTTGTATATGTATGTGCATTCTGATTGGAGATGTGCCTGTTCTTGGTGTCCTCCCCTTAAAGAGCACTCCTCATTTGGGAATGATTCTGCATTTGTCATATCCAAATTATTGCCAGACCTAACAATCATTCCTCCTTGCTTCCTCCCCGCCCCCGGTATTCTGGATACTAAAGATCTACTTATTGTCATAATTAGAGCTCAAGGTGCAAAATTTGGAGCTGTCCTTGAAGAGAGTTCTAAAGCCTCAGTTGTTCCAACGTGGAGCTTTTACTTGCAGTTGGACCAAACTGTAGAATGTACATTGTGTTAATTATTTTTCAGCTGCGGTGCTATCAATTTGTTTCTCAGCTTAAATTCAGGCTGTCTTTGGAAAACACCTCCCATGTAATCTTACTTCACAGTGGAGTCATCTAGAGAAGTTTCATTGCAAATACTTCCAGTGTTGAAACAGAAGTGGCCCTTAGCCAAAACTGCTCAGAATCCAGGTTCAGTCCCAGGTAGCTGGCTCATAGTTCACCCAGCCTTCCATCCTTTCGAGGCTGGCAAACTGTATACCCAGCTTGCTAGGGAGACAATGTGTAACTACTGTAAATTGTAAACCGCACAGAGAGTACTTTAAGTGCTGTGGGGCAACATATGACAGTACACTTTAACCAATAATACAGTGTTTTCACTGGTGGCTCCCAAAGGAAATAAATTAGGTCCAATCTGTTGGGTTAAGAAATTAGTACAAGTGGCAGTTCTTCCTCCTTTCATTTCATAATCCTTAATGTTAGATTATTATTTTTCAGTGACCTTATTTCATCCATATGTTGCTTCTGGTTGTTTCTGTGTTTTTGAGGGGGATATTAATTAATTGAATTGCTTCCTGGTAGTTATAGTTCAGTATTGTTTTGTTACATGTTTTTATAGTTGTAAGCTGCTTTGAGGGTTGTTCCTAACAGAAAGGCAATGTTTAAATATAATGATGTGATAATAAAAGATAAGAGGTGAATAGAGCCAGGACCTCACATGTATGTTTCACCTTCCAGGATAACTGCCGGCGAGCCGAGAATGTATTGCGCCTTTGGATCATTGAAGCCAAGGACCTGGCACCCAAGAAGAAGTATTTCTGTGAATTGTGCTTGGATGATACTTTATTTGCTCGCACCACAAGCAAAACAAAAGCTGATAATATTTTCTGGGGTGAGCACTTTGAGTTCTGTGGCCTCCCATCTATCCACAGCATCACTGTTCACATCTATAAAGATGTTGAAAAGAAAAAGAAGAAGGACAAGAATAACTATGTAGGTTTGGTCAATATTCCCATAGCAAGTGTGACTGGCCGACAGTTTGTGGAGAAGTGGTACCCTATCAGCACACCTACACCCAGTAAAGTGAAGGCAGGAGGCCCATCCATCCGGATCAAGTCCCGATACCAGACCATCACCATCCTCCCCATGGAGCAGTACAAAGAGTTTGCTGAGTTTGTTACTAACAGTTACACTGTGTTGTGCTCTGTTCTGGAGCCAGTGATAAGCGTCAGAAACAAAGAGGAGATGGCCTGTGCTTTGGTGCACATTCTTCAGAGCACTGGCAGAGCCAAGGTAAGGAGGCAGATCATCCTGATTTTGAGTGCTGTTGAAAGAAGGAAGGAGGTTGGGGTCCTGTTAAGAAACTGAAGACAGTTTGATGTTCATGACCTTATACTTCTGAGTGAAAGTTTTCCCTTACTGTCAGTGCTACCAAATTAAAAATAATGCAAAAACAAAGGTTAGGCCTTTATAATTGTTAAATTACCTGGGACAATGAAGGTATCTACTATTGTAAAAATAACCTAAGGACCTCAAGACATAACTATGTATTTAACTTAATTTTACATTTATATCTTGAGTTCTTCCCTCATGAAATATAAGACAAGATGCCTCTTTTGCATTCTTTATGGTTCTTCACAGTAGCTGAAATCCTCTTGCTTGGCATACTAATTGTACTAGAGAAGGCACACTGAATCCATGAGCATTTAGTGAGTCAACTCCCTTGTAAGCGCCATTAATTTAAATGGGCCTCCTCTGGTAACAGTTCACTTTAGTAAATTCCAACTAGAGTAGGCCCATTTTAATAAATTGAATTTTTGGAGGAGTCAACAAATTCGCACTGATTCAGTGGGGAATGTACTATGCTACTATGCAACAGGATGGCCATGAACAGTGCTGGATTTATAAAGGGGCAAAGGCGGCAATTGCCCCGGAGGAGCTGTCTGAATGGTCCCTCTCTATACAAAAATATAATAATTAAAACATTAGTTTCTTTTATTAAAATGTATATTGGGAAGCAATACTTTGCCTGCTATCATCTGTAAAAGTGCCCGAATTTACCATTATGCAAAATAAGCATGTGTTTAGAGCCTTAAGGAATGGGGAGACCCACACAGGGTTTGCAAAAGGAAGGAGACTAGATCTTTGCTCTTCTTGGCTGAAGCAAAGATCTGGAGTAGATTTCTTAACTGGGAGGAACTGGAGATCCACTTCAGATCTTTGGTTCAGTCAAGGAGAGCACAGATCTGGTATTTTGCAAACTGTGAGTCTCTCAGTGCGAAGGCACTGTGGACTCTGGTCCAAAGGAAAAAAAGGGCTTTGAAGAAAGTTCATTGTAAGTTTGTCCTTCTGGTTTAGGGATCCTCCTTTTCCAGCAGGGCTTTCTTTGTGCTGGTCCATGGCCTTTCTCAACCCTGGATTAACCATTAAGCAAAATAAGCACATTGCTTATGTCATCAACAAGAGAAGGGGGCACTACAGTTTTTTTTCAGTGCTAGATTTATCATGGACCATGATGCAAATGGTTCATACTCCTTAACAAATCTATCTATCCCTCAACCTTGACTCTCTCCCTCCCTTCCTCAAGAGCCCCAAGAAAAACACTTCCTTATCTAAAGTAATTGAGTATGAATCAGTAAAAACTAAAAAGTATAAAGACACCCCTAGCAAGAAAACTAATGGTTTGAGTGAAATGATCAGTCACCATTATCATCTCTAGGTGTTCTTTCTTGTGGCCTCTGTGAATACACACATGTGGGTATTGTCTGCGCCTGCGCTGACTCTCTCGGAAGATTCAATACCCATATGTGTGAATTCACAGAGGACCACTCAAAGAACTATGGTTACAGGTAAGTAACCTCTTTTTGTTATATTTTTATTTTAAACTTCTCTATTTTGGGAGGTTGAGTGGAGATAAAGATAAAAAGGGCTGCTGGTCTTTTAGACCCATGGCCTCTGTACTCTATATGCAAGCCAATGAAATAACAGCCACTGTTAAAAACAGCCAAGATGGGGTTTTAAGCTCTTGTGTAAGCTTTTAAGTTACAGAATTTGACAAAATTTGTCTGCTTTAATCAAAATGTGAAAGCACATGATTTGACTGCAATTCAGCAATTTGATTTTGTAGATGATTTTGTAGATGATATGTGGTTCTTTTTTGCCACATGCTATACAATTAAATTAACCCTATTTTCATGCATATCATGTGCACATTATACTTTTTTTTTAAACCGTGGGCAACACAGACTACAAAGTAGCTACAGGGAAGCCAAGTTACAATGTAAATCAGTCTCAGACTAAGTTTCCCTTTCCTCAAGAGAAGAATTCAGATGTGGAACTTCCAATCTCATTTTAGATCAGATGTCTGTTGCCTTATAAAAATGCAGGATGGCACAGTGGATGACAAGTTGAAAGTCATAGTCAACTTATGCTGTCTACGTGATGCAGAAATAAGAACTGAAGCTGAGAAACTTATCATTGTTTTCCTCTGTGATTTCAGTAATGTATTCCTAGATGAAATTGTCCACTTTGCAGCCGTTGCCAAGCACAGGTCATGTCTCACTCCATCTCAACTGGTGGTTGCCGTTCACCCAGGTCATGAATATTCATATGCTATTTGCACAGACCACTGGGAGTGCTGGAGGGGCGGAGTCATGAGGTATAAGAGACTCAGCAGCAGCAGGAGGAGATAGATAGACATGGATAAAGTTTAGGGTTTTGAGATGGAGAATTAAAGAGAGAGTTGAGAAAGTTTTGGAGTTTGGGTGGGAGAATGATGGTTGAGAGTGGATAAAGAAGAATGATTAAGAGTTAACAACATTGCTTGTTCTGGCAACACCTGTATCAATAAATAATTTCTATTTGGTTCATTTTTAAAAGGACATATGGCCTGGACATCTATCATTATAGGTATTGTTGATGAAATCAACTAGTGACAGCTGAGGGACACATAGCTTGAGCTCTTTGGTTGGTGAAACAATCAGGGGCCATGTGGAATCAGGATAGTTGTTTTATTTCATTATGTATCTTGCTGATACTTTTCCAAGTGTTAGTGCAGCTTTTGGAATATATTTGGTTCAGGAAAGAGATCATGCAGCAAGTTAACACTAATAAAGAATTATCTGAAAACCACAATGACCCATGAAAGACTAAGTGCTTTGTGCCTACTGGATGTAGAGAGCAGAGTTCTACAGAAGATACAGTTTGAGGAGTTCATTAAAGATTTTTCAGATGCCAAGAGTAGAAAGAGTCTTTGCAGATATTCTAGTGTGATCCATATAGCTGTAAAACTGACTGAACCGAGCTTAGATAACCTTAAAAGTTTTGCATGGATAGGTTCAGAGTTTAAATTGGTTGTGTAAATTGTTGAGTTAGCCATTGCTTTCCATGGAAACTAAAGAGTACATAGCACCAGAGCTATGTTCTTTGTAATTTGTCTTACATAAAAATCTATTTGGAACTTTGCTGGCACATATAGAAATGTATCCATGTATTTACATCAGAGATATAATTCATTTAACTTTTCTATGTGTGTATAAGTTCCAATAAATGGACTTTGAAGTGTACATTTGGTGATTTACTGTGTATTTTAATTCCTCTGTTTGAAGATTCTCCATGTCATGAATTTGATTATGAAAATAGAATAGAGTTGTATATCATAGGATTTATTTAAGAGCAGCAACGAAAAAGCTAGAAATCTGCTTGTGTCCAGGTGCTAATTAGAGAGAAAAAATGTACAAGGTCAGTTCTTCTCCAGCTAAAGAAAAAAAAAATCAAGAAGAGCAAGCTGACCCTTATCTTATCTCAACTCCGACGGACAAGGACATAACTTGTTAATTTAAGAAAGATGGGAGAAGAGAGAAGGAGGAGAAGATGGACGGAGAGACAGCCCGGACGTCTGCCCGAACGCAGCAAGAGAGAATTCCTGCCCAGAGGAATGAACGCTAGAGAAAAACTACAAAAGGATCTTATTTTTCAAATTAACAGTAAGATAGAACTCTGTTTGAAAATGTAGTAAGCTATTTTATTATTTTGGTTTTTATAGAGGAAAATGCCTGGTGGTGATGGCTGGGGTAAATAGGAAATGATTATTTGTGTAAAGATTGGCTTATCTAAATGTGTTTCAAATTAATCTCTATCTTTTTAATAAAATATAAAAAGGCTGTTTGTCTGTACGTTGGCTTCTTGAATAGACCGTCAAGCTACTCTAGTTAATTGGCTAATTTAAAATTGATTTATTTAATCAGGCCACGCGCATGCTACCAATTTAGGGTCCCACATATAAGATAAAGAGGAGTAAATCTTCTAGAATGACTAGAAGTTTTTTATTTAAAAATCGTAGCAGACTTGGGAGAAAGGGTGGAAAAGTTGCCTAGGGTAAAATTAAAGGACCCGGTTTTACCTGAGTAGGAACTGTTCATCCTGGACCCCTCTCAGTTATGTGTAAAAGCAGTTTCTTAGCCCCCACAGGTCTAAATCCAATCATGGCCATCAGTGTGCCAAGATGGTGAAAGTAAATGTCTTTCAAGACTCAAGGAGCCATATTGATTCAGTTATCCTGGCTAATTAATGCTTAAAACAAGATCACGGGCACAGTAAACCCCTACCAAAAAGAATTATAATGTGATCAGTGACAGGTCACACTTCCCAATGCTTAGTCAGAAGTAGAGATGAAAAAATTGAATTTGCAGAATTCATCAAAATTATTTATTTATTTTATTTATTTCACTTATATGCCGCCCTATCTAGACATTGTCTACTCTGGGCGGCTTACAACTAGATAAAAACAATTCATATATAATAACCGTTACAGCATTATACAATGAAAACAATGGTTCAAGATGGGAAGAAGAGGGAAGGCCTGTTTGAATAACCAGATCTTAAGTTGATTTTTAAAAATGCCCAGCGAGGGGGCCAAACGGATCTCGGAAGGGAGTTTGTTCCAAAGAGAAGGAGCCACTGCCAAGAAGGTCCGGTGTCTTGTTTTTTCTTTCTGGGCCTCCCTCAGTGTTAGGCTCCTCAATCGCCCCTCCTGGCTGGATCGAGTGCTACGGGTAGATCTAGGTGGGAGGAGGCGTTCCGTCAAGTATCGAGACCCTAAACCATTTAGGGCTTTGATCATTAAACTTTGAAATCAACGCGGAAGCGTACGGGCAACCAATGCAAGTCGGTCAGGGTCAGGGTGATATCTCGTGGCGCAGTGGTTAAAACGCTGTACTGCAGCTAAAACTGTGCTCACGACCTGGGGTTCAAATCCCAGGTAGCCGGCTCAAGGTTGACTCAGCCTTCTATCCTTCCGAGGTCGGTAAAATGAGTACCCAGCTTGCTGGGGGGGCAATGTGTAGCCTGTATAATTGAATTGTAAACCGCCCGGAGAGTGCTTGTAGCGCTATGGGGCGGTATATAAGTCCAATAAATAAATAAATAAATAAATATTGGTGTTTCCTCACTCCACTGAGAAGTCTGGCCGCCACATTCTGCATCATTTGGAGCTTCCGCGTCAGTCTCAAAGGTAGCCCCACGTAGAGCGCATTATGATTCTATGAATTCATAAATAAAAATTGTGAATTCATAGAATCATAGAATCACAGAGTTGGAAGAGACCACAGGGGCAGCGAGTCCAACCCCCTGCCATGCAGGAACTCCATCAAAACACTCCCGACAGATGGCCATCCAGCCTCTGCTTGAAAACCTCCAAGGAAGGAGACTCCACCACACTCTGAGGCAGCATATTCCACTGTCGACCAGCTCTGACTATCAGGAAGTTCTTCCTGAGTTTCAGGTAGAATCTCTTTTCCTGTAGTTTGAAACCATTGCTCCTTATCCTAGTGTCTGGAGCCGTGGAAAACAAACCTGTCCCTTATTCAACATGATATCCCTTCAAATATTTAAACATGGCTATCATGTCCCTTCTTAACCTTCTTTGTTAGGCTAAATATTCTCAGCTCCCTAATCTGTTCCTCATAGATCATGGCTTCCAAACCTTTGACTATTTTGGTCGCCCACCTCTGGACATGTTCCAGGTTGTCAACATCCTCCTTGAATTGAGGTGCCCAGAACTGGCGTCCCCTTCCCGCTGCATAACACATTCCAAAAGAGCGTGGTCAATCCCACCTAAGGATCCCGCCACTTCGACCCCATTAACAATGTCATGAATTCATCAGTATTCATCTGAATTGATGCCCCAGGAAATACGAATTTGTAGCAATTCTTGATTCATCAGTCATGTTGACAGGGAAAATCTGGACAGAATTGTTGCTACAGAATATATGGTACTCTAGGTGCTGGGTAGGTACAGGGATTTTAAGAGGCGAACACTGTACTTTTTAAAATCAAGTGTCTTTTGAATTTCCTTTAATCTATTTGTGTTTTACTATTATAATTTTAAACTACATTCTAGCCTTTATAAATGACTACTGTTTTTATTTTAACTTTTTAAAAATCATGTTGCCAACTGCCTTGAGTCTCAGTTCTGGTAGCAAGACAGAATATTGTCAGTCAGTCAGTCAATCAATCAATCAGTATTGTTACACTGCTCAATATGATTGAGAACCTTGTTGAGTTGGGGTTAGTGACTATGTGGAGTACTGTAATTGTATTTTACTGAATTTTGATACAGTTTTTGCTTTAGGTTTTTCCTGTCCATGGAAGCTGGCTAATGGGGAAATGACCAGTGTGGATCCACATATATCTTGTTTGCCGAACACCTGAATTATATAATTTTTTCAATCATGTCCTTGGTGTTAACTCTAGGTATTAATAATTTAGAAGTGGACCATGATTGCTATGTTTGCCACAGGAAATAAGAGTGAGGGAAGGGGGAAAGGTGTTCATTAGGCTAGCTTCTAAAGGCAATGGAGAATCCAGGCTTCTTGAGTTAGCAGAATTCTTCAGCTGCCTACCTTTTCTGCTCTTTTAAGATTTCTGTATAACGTGCAAGCTTATGTACTCCTGCACTAAATGTCTTAATATCAGGGGTGATTTTGGATTAAGATGAGAACTGTAGGCAGCACATTAAAATAAGAACTCAATATTATGCAATAAAAATGGAGAAAAAAGTAAACTCATGAACAAATAAAACAATTATTAAAGGAAAGATAGTTCTCTATTCAGTTAATTTACTGGGTGGCTGAACTTGAAATAACAAATTTAGTTGGATGTGTTTCTTTTTCCCTAAACCCCTTGCTTTCTGTTTTGATTATGCTCTGTCATTCAGAACCCAGCTTTGTTGCCTGGTCACAAAGCCACATTTATTTTGCTGAGTGCAACAGTCCTTTTTTCTTCCTATCTGGTATATCCTGTCTTCCTCCTGCACAATTTATCATTGACTAAAACACTTTCTTCTGGTCTAACCTTTTTCCTCCAGGACTTCTTAACTGATCTGGTGATGTCTGAAGTTGATCGTTGTGGGGAGCATGATGTCTTGATCTTCAGGGAGAATACACTTGCCACCAAAGCCATTGAGGAGTACCTCAAGCTGGTGGGCCAGAAGTATCTGCAGGATGCACTTGGTACAAAAATGCTAGCTGACTTCATATTTTGATTTTCTTTCGTAGAATTAGGGCCATGTCAGCACTGTGGGTTAAATCCTTTCTATTTGATTTACACTTGACATACAAGGCTTTTAACATAAAATGCATGGAGGGATTATTTTTGTGATGGGCAAAAGTCCTGATGATTCTGCTCTGATGTAAGAGTTAAAAATCTTACAGTTATTGACTGAAACAGCTTCTGTTCAACAGATCAGTTTACTTACCAGAAGCTAAAACTGGTCAGTTAAAGAAACATTTTGAGAACATGAACTAGAGCAATTGGGAGCATTACTTGAATAATTGCTGGTAGAAAGACCCTGCGCATGGTCAAAAAGTCACTCAAGGAAACACCCACCTGGCCCAGCAGAACAAATAGCAAGCTAGAGTGCAACACAAATGAACACTTTTGGCATACAACTTTTACCCTAGGCATATAATGATTGCTTTTACTTAGCATATATCAGTTAAAATTTTCATAAATACTTCCTGGGTATTTTTTTTATGAGCTGCAGCTCCCACACATGAGGTCAGGATGTAAGCAGTAGTTGTACATTTTCTCATTCTCAGTTACATATGAGATGCCCTCAGAAAATCGGCAGATGAGAAAACCTGTGTTGGAAAAAAGAAACAGTCTTGTTTTTTGAAGCTAATGTTACATACCATCTGAGTTACATACCATTCATTAAACAGTGAAAAGATGAAATTGGTTTGTTTTTACTCCTAGAGCAATGAGTTCTAAACATTTGCTTAGATTTTTGGAATAACTGTAAAGTTTTTAGTGAGAAGAACTCTTTACTCATTACAACTGTGGAAGTGAATGAGGAGATGCAATATATACAGAATTATAGAATTCATCTTGTGGATCTGTTTTATGAAGGACCATATGGGATGTTTCTAGCATATCTATGCTGCAGAGCGGCCACACAATGATGGTGTTCTGTCATAATAACTGGCAGATGCCCCCTCTCAATTGGCTCTTGCAGGGCTTCAGGGAGCATCAGTAGCCAGGGTAAAGCAAGGTGGGCCTGGATTTTGCAGAATGGTCAGTTCTCAGAGCTACTTGTACAGTAGTGAGTATTTTAGCAAGATATAAAACTATATAACATTACTATGGTCAACTGAAAGTTACAACAAGCAGCTGCCACCTTCCTGGCAGTTTTATTTCCAGAATTTGGTGTCCAGTTTCATTTATCATGCTTAAAGTGAATGGGCCAACTATTAGGATCACCATCAGAAAAGACACTGAGTTGACAGGTTGAGGCTGTTTTGACCTTGTTTTAATAACTTAAATTGTGGGAAATGTTGTGAAAAGGGTGAACTTCAGGTTATTCATTCTTTATTCTGTTCTGTAATAAAAGAAGAATCAGATTATAATCCAGTTAAATTAAATTCTATTGGTGTTTTATATGTTTATAAGTTATATTGTGTAACTCCCATGACAAATTGCTTCTAACTAAAGAGCCACTAAATCATAGGCATTCACATGTTGCACAATTGGCTGCATATTTTGTATTATGGCCTCAGTAGCCAGTGGCAGTTTGATGCAGTGAGTTAAGCAGTTTAACTTATATGCACATAAATCACCAATAAGGTTATGCTCAACAAATTTAAGCCAATTTACAAAAAAAGGTATGGATTGGTTTTCATGGTTTTTACTTTGTAAAATTAATAGACCAAACAGAACCAGAGACACCAATGGAATGGCTTTAACTCCAAATGAATAAATAATTTTACCATTACTAATAACCTATGTCTAGACTATTTGGCCTAGTTTAATCATCATTTGAAAAATAAGCTGGTTTCTAGAGGGATGTAGAAAGAATTCCCTACGCTATGTAGAACATTTCATGGTTGAATCAGAGGAGTGGAGTTGGTTTCTACTCATGAAAGTTATGAAGTGTGGACAGTGCTGTTACATAACAGCACTGATGTTACCTGTCTGTCATGGGTTTGGAGGGAAAGTTCCATCCTATGGGGAGTGGAA